GCCGGTCTTGGAGCTGCTGGACCTGAGGGTCCTCCTGGAGCTGGAGCTGCTGAGGGCGTTCGTGCTGAGCCTACTGCTGTTGGTCCTGCCGCTGGAGGTGTGGGTGGCGCTGGTGCTGTCGCTGAGGGTGCTGGTGCTGTCCCTGCTGAGTCTGGAGCTGCCGCGCGGCCTCGGCCGTACTTCGTTCCGCTCCTGCAGAAGGTTCTTGGTCTTTCTCCTCCAGTAGAGGGTCCACCGCCTGTCTAGTCGCAGTCCCTGCTGGAGCCTTCCTCTCCACTGCCTGCTCCCTCTCCTTACACTGGTCCTACTGGAGGTCTTGCTGAGCGTCGTGAGCCTGCGTCTCGTCCCGCGTCGCCTGTTCGTGCTGCTCGCGCTAGTGGTCGCAGTTCGCGTAAGCGTCCTCCTCCTGTCCCTGGCACGCACCGGATGTCTTTGCGTCCGTCCACTGCTCCTCTGCGTGCCCCTTTGCCTTCTCCTCCTGAGTCCTCTCTTCCTGCACTTGCCGACCCTGAGTCGGACTCTCTTCGTGCTGCCAGTCCTACTGTCACGCGTCTGCTTGCTACTGTCGTCACTGACCCCTCCTTTGAGTCCACTGCTGCGTCTGCTCTAGTCGCTGAGCTCGTCGACTTTGCTGCTCGCTGTCGTCTCGACTACGCTGCTAGTCTTGTTGCTGAGTCTGTGTCTGTCTGTCCTCCGTCCGTCGGGGGTGAGTGTGCTCTTGGCACGGACGTCCTAGAGGACAGGCAGGAGGATTTACAGTGTCTAGCGGCTGCTTCACCTCATCTCGCGTCTGTACTGCTTGCCCCTGAGGGAGACCCGGATGCACTAGACATCCCGACTCCGCGTTCTTACGCGGAGGCCGTAGAGGGTCCCTACTCCTCTCAGTGGCAGGCAGCTATGGATGCAGAGATGGCTTCCTGGAAGTCCACAGGCACCTACGTTGACGCGGTTCCCCCTCCTGGGGCGAACATCGTCAGTGGCATGTGGATCTTCAGGGTGAAGCGGCCGCCGGGCTCTCCACCTATCTTCAAGGCACGGTACGTTGCTCGTGGCTTCAGTCAGCGGCAGGGAGTTGACTACTTTCAGACCTTCTCTCCCACCCCGAAGATGACTACTCTTCGGGTGCTGCTGCACATAGCCGCTCAGCGCGACTACGAGCTTCACTCTCTCGACTTCAGCACTGCGTTTTTGCAGGGTAGCCTGCACGAGGAGATCTGGCTTCGCCGTCCACCTGGCTTCACTGGGACTTTCCCTCCTGGCACCCAGTGGAGCCTCCGACGGCCAGTCTACGGTCTCCGCCAGGCACCGCGTGAGTGGCACGACACACTGAGGACTACGCTCGCGGCTCTTGGGTTTGCTCCTTCTACTGCTGACCCGTCGCTGTTTCTTCGCACCGACACTTCCCTGCCGCCGTTCTACATCCTCGTGTACGTCGACGACTTGGTCTTTGCCACAGCGGACACTGCTGGACTCGCCTACGTGAAGTCCGAGCTGCTGAAGAGACACACGTGCACAGACCTGGGTGAACTGCGCAGCTACCTTGGCTTGCAGATCACTCGGGACAGAGCACGCCGCACCATTACCTTGACTCAGTCACACATGGTGCAGCAGGTCCTTCAGCGCTTCGGCTTCACGTACTCCTCGCCTCAGGCCACTCCTCTGCCTACTCGCCACTCACTCTCAGCTCTGCCTTCGGATGAGTCCGTAGAGTCGAGTGGTCCGTATGCAGAGCTTGTTGGCTGCCTCATGTACCTGATGACCTGCACACGACCTGACCTTGCATACCCTCTGAGCATTCTTGCACGCTATGTTGCTCCTGGGAGACACAGACCAGAGCACATGGCTGCAGCGAAGAGGGTATTGCGCTACCTGTGCAGTACGTCGGGCATGGGGCTAGTGCTTGGAGGGCGGAGTCCAGTGGTCCTTACCGGCCACGCGGACGCTTCTTGGGCTGACGACCAGGCTACGCAGCGGTCGTCACAGGGTTACACCTTCAGCCTTGGTTCCGGCTCTGTCTCGTGGCGGTCTACTCGCTCGTCTTCAGTTCTCGGCTCCAGTTGTGAGGCTGAGATCTACGCCGGGGCCATGGCTGCACAGGAGCTTCGCTGGCTCACCTACCTACTGACTGACCTTGGAGAGCCGCCTCGTTCTCCTCCAGTGCTGTACGTAGACAACAAGGCCATGCTGGCCTTGTGTCGAGAGCAGCGCTTGGAGCACAGAACGAAGCACATTGCTCTCCGCTACTTCCTTGCTCGTGAGCTGCAGCAGCGTGGTCAGTTGCGACTTGCGTACGTGGCCTCTGAGGCCAACACTGCTGATGTGTTCACCAAGGCACTCGCGCCTTGTGACCATCAGCGCTTTTGCACCCAGCTGGGTCTTGTACCTGTCTTGCCTCACTTGCTCTCCTCTTGACTTCACTTGTACTGTGACATATATATATACCTGCTCTTGCTTGTCTAGTTTTATATATATGTCTGTACTCCTGCATGTGAACTGGCCTCTGGCCCTGCTCTTGTGCTCGGACTGTGTGGTGACGTTGTGATCCACCCTGAGCTTGCTTTGCTTTGCTTTGCTTGACTGGTCTTGTGACCCCTTGTTCTCCCCCACTTTGCCTATGGGGGTGTGTCAGAGTATTATGACTGATGCATGTTTGTAGGCTATAGTGGGGTAGCACATATGGGGTACAGCTCTCTAGGGTTGTATTTGTACCCAACTCTGACTTAGTCATTTCATTCCTGTTTTCCTTGCTTCACACCTCCGCCTCGACATTTTCCCAACCTCAGTTCCAGGCCCGTCGCGCGTCAACCATAGTTCATTACCGTTACCACTGTAGTTTCGCTATATATTCTTCGCTCATGCCTTCGCTCATTCTACTCTTGCTTCGATAGTGCAATTCTCGTTTGATCACTCAATTGCACTCGTAACAGTGGTCCACTCCGAAACTCGTCTGATGGCTGAAAAACGAAAAACACATAACTTATAACTTTCCAAAACAATGCAAAAAAACTTGAGTAATCAAGCTGGACCCAACTAGAACGGGGGGGTCACTACCGTATTCTCCCGGACATAACACCCTAGGGTATAGCTAAAAATACAGGGAAAAAATGGGGGGGGTCTCCTCATAGGAAAAAAATACATACGGTAATACCCGGGTCTTTACATATGGCATATTTTAGTGTTAGTGTTTTTTTTATAAGTCAATGTGGGTGTTTTGCTGGTCCTTTTAGCATCACTGCCTGAGGCGCGAATGTGAGTTTCGGCCTCGAACTTCATCGCCCTCACGAAAATGCCATGTGGCACCTCTCTTGCCACTTGCAACGGAAGATTCACCTGCACGTGGCAACAGAGAAATAGTGGGAGGGGGCAAATCTCGGCAGATTGCCTTTGAATGTACCGCGAAATTTCATTGAGGGAGAAATTCACACGATATTCTTCCGTATTGCAGCTACTCGTTAACGACTAAAATCATTAATCTGTAAGAAAAGGGGGGTGTTATAGAAAATCAGCCAAAAAGGGGGGTACCGTCACCCCCCGGATATAAGCGCCACCCTAGGATAAGCGCCTGGCGCTTCTAATTGGCATATGGCGCTTATATCCCCTCCTCGATTATAAGCGCACCCCCTGAAAAAACTAGTTTTATTATAAGCGCACGTAAACTTTAAAATTTGAAATGTGTACAAAACGTTGTAATGATTTTTACTTTAGCAGGCAGATATGTTGCAGATTCGGTTCCCTTCACATTCGGACCCTGCACTGGATGCGGGTCCAGTCAGCAGGAGCTGTCAGGAGCTGGATGTGAGTCAGATTGGGTGTGTCTCCCAGCGCGCGCGAGAATTTCACAGACGACCCCATGTAAATTCGACTCGATTGAAAGGGCAAGCACGAGACCTACAGTTTGGTGTTAAAAAATATAAAAAATATGAATGTCATTTTATAAACGCCGGCGCTTATAACTTTACTCGATTATAAGCCCACCCCCTTGAAAAAACATGTTTTATTATTGCCCCCCATGGGGGTATATCCGGGGGGTGACGGTATAGTAGAAACGAGGTCTATCATAACACCCACCCCGCACAAGCTACCCGGGGGTGTACAATTATGGGGGGGTGTTTTGTCCGGGAGTATACGGTATTTTAGCCACAGGCTTTAATGATGGTGGGAGATACACCGACAATGGAAGTTGACGATACGTTGAAATTAACATGGTAATTAACTTGAAGGTAACATGGCCTTGGGAATGCATGGCTGAGCCTGATGCTTGTCGCCTGATAACTGGAGAGACCGAGGTCAGCATAAATTACCGGACTTCCATTTAGAATGTTAAAGACGATACTGTTAAGAAGATCAGAACTCGGCGTGCATTGTAGCGAGGACGTTGACTTGTTCAAGCTCGTCAGAATCCATGGCCGCCAGATGGCGGAGAAGGCGGAGAGCATTGCAGGCAAGGCTTTCGTGGTGTGTGATGGACCCGATAGAGCTGTTACAATCCTCGCCGTGGTGTGATCCTTCAGAATCCGGTGTGTTTTATGGAGTGCTTGTAATGATGTATTGAGCCCATATGTAAGGCGTTTTTTCAGTTTTACACATCTGATTCCACCGCGTACAACACCGTTCATGGGCTAACTTTTCTTTGCCAACATTCCATTCCTTTTCACTTCTCCACGAACCAAGCCACTCCAACGCGTTCCTCCTCACAACACTCCCATTTGTGCGGGGTGAACTTGGGTCCGAGGGGTGGGAACACCCCCAGACCATTCCATCCGAACCGAGCCAGGGTCCGGACGTCAGTAAGGTTACGGGTTTCGCAAATGCTCGTGAGAGGACTGGCAGAATTTTGGCGATGTCGCCATCATCCGGACCTTAGATAGTGACATGACAATGAATGGGCCCTTACTGTGAGGTGTCTGACTTTTCCTCCAATAAATCCTTGTGTCGCGATTCTTCATCCCAGTCGTTTTTGCTTTCGCACACGGCCAGGAAACGCCCAATCGAAGCCCACGATGGCGCCTAAAGCAACGCGTTCCCTGCAGCGGCTCCTGTCGCAGCGGTCGCACATGGCCAAGGCTTTGCCGCGCCCGTCGCGGGCTGCGTCCCGCCACAGAGGTCCCTCCAGCCTCGCACAGGCGCTCCGTGGAGCGGATGATGCGCCGCACGCTAGTAGGCTCGCTGCGATGAGCATTTAAGCATCCGTGCCCGATCGTTCTCGTCACCTCTTCTGCTTTACACCAGTTAGCACCAATCACTCCTCTAGTACCTCTTTCTCTTGGGTTGCTCCGCTGCACACTCCTGCTCCACTCCTGCTCTCGGATTGCTCGTGGCGATCAAGGTCGAAGAGCGAATGGCGTCCGCCGGAATCAGCAGCATGGGGAATGGCAAGGCCGTGCGTGCGCTGCTCGCCATCGTCGCCGTCATCGCCGGTACGCTCCGTCATTCGCTCCGCTCTCTCGCCCCGCGCTCTCATGCGCCATCGTGCTCACGCCGTCATGCGTTCAATGCACCACTCGACAGCGCGCACACGCGATGGATGCCCAACGAACTCGCTCCTTCGTCCGTGCCCCTCCCATGCCACATGCCGCTCCCTTGCAGCGTGTCTCCCCCAGCCGTCGCAAGCAGCAGCAGCAGCGAGCGTGTCGGTCCCAGTGCCGATAGGCACGCCGATGACAATCAACGGGCGCACATTCAAATTCTCGCCGCGCCGCTGTGTCAACCTTCCCGCCATGTCGCCGTCTCAGAAGGCGCGGGTGGTGGTGCCGTGGCAGCAGGCGAGCATGTTTGGCAAGGCTATGTGCCGCGCGATCCGGTTCTTCCAGGGTCCCGCGTGCAAAGGACAGACGTTGGACGTTTTCGCGAATGGCCAACAGAGGTGCGCCTTCCATTCTTGCTCGCCTTGCTTCCATGCTCCTATGCTTTCTTGATGCCGCTCGTTTGCTCCCCCACCTGACCAACGATCGTTGCACTCGCGGCGCCCTCCCTCCCCCTGTGTGCAGTGAGAAGCGCATCTCCGGTGCACCGAGGTCCGCCCTCTGCCTCATAGGTGCGCGCGTCCCCTCTTGCCCTCTCTCGCGCCCGCCTCTCGCGAGAAGCCGCCCTCTCTCTCTCTCTCTCTCTCTCTCTCTCTCTCTCTCTCTCTCTCTCTCTCTCTCTCTCTCTCTCTCTCTCTCTCTCTCTCTCTCTCTCTCTCTCGCTGGCCTCGCGCTCTCACTGCACAGTCCAGTTCGCTGCGCTGCAGAGCGCACGACGCGAGTGGGTGGCAGGCTGCCGCGCCTCATCTCTTCTTTCGCCTTCCCCCTTTCCCCCCTTCCCCCTTCCCCCTTTCCCCCGGTCCGCACGGCGCTGTGCTGCAGACAACATGTGTCAGTATGCGCGCTGCCGTGCCGGCTCTGACACATGCACCCCACCCACGGACGACCGCGCGGCAGTGACGTGCGCGTGCAAGAAAGGCTATAGCGCGGTCACCAACAAATGCCTGCCTTCCAGTAAGCTTCGTATGGTTTCGCTCCGCTCAGCATGGTCTCGTTGCCGCAACTCTCTCCTCCTCCGCCCTCCCTCGCCTGCTCTGCTCTCTCTGAATGCTTCCTTGTCCGGATGGACCCATGTGCTCACCTGGCCTCCCTCTCTCTCTCCTTGCCTCTGCTGCAGAACCCTCGTGCCTCACTGCAGGCTGCCCTGCCAACTCCGAGTGTGCCAAACGCACCAGTGGCACTGGAATGGAGTGCAAGTGTAAGTCGGGCTACAATGCAGTCGGTGCCACCTGTGTGCCAGCAGCAAAACCCGGCACCACCACAACCCCGTCCGGCACCACCACAACCCCGTCCGGCACCACCACAACCCCGTCCGGCACCACCACAACCCCGTCCGGCACCACCACAACCCCGTCCGGCACCTCCACAACCCCGTCCGGCACCACCACAACCCCGTCCGGCACCTCCACAACCCCGTCCGGCACCACCACAACCCCGTCCGGCACCACCACAGCTTCGTCCACCACAACACCTTCAAGCGACGCTTCAGAATCTTCCAGCAACGTTGCAGAATCTTCAAGCGACATTTCAGATTCTTCCAGCAACGTTTCAGGACCTTCCAACTACGTGTCAGAAATTCCTCCTAACTACGTTTCAGACTCTTCCAGCAACGCGTCAGATTCTCCTATCTACACGTCAGAATCTCCCAACTAAACTCCAGAATCTTCCAGCGGTGGCAACTCCGTACCATCCTATTCCTCTACTTGCGCCAAGCCAAATCAGTCGCCACATCTGAGAAGAGTTGAGGGACGTATTGCGTAGGGACAGGGATTGGTTGCTGTTGCTGTGCTTCTCAGACAGGTTAGGGTAGGGAGGCAGTTTGTGAACTGTTCTCGGGAAGGTCGTTGAGCAGGTGCCAGGCAGGATAGCTGGCAAGTTCTCAAGAAGAATAGAAGCAACCAATCTGGTAGCATAGCAGCACTGCGTGTTATCAGACCCTCCCTGTCCGGGCTGGTTAGATTTCTCCTGTTCGCACCCCCACTTCTCCCCTTCTCCCCCCTAGGTTTGTTGTAATCTTTGTTTTACCCATCTAAATATTTGTTTCTGGATCTTGTTGCAATTCTACACGTGGTTTCAAATCATAGAGATGACCCTGCTTTTGACCTTTGTTTTTGGTGGCTTCCATCAATTCACTCTAGTTTTCACTAGAGTCAGCACCATCACTTAGGAGCGTGATCAACCATTTTCGATTTTGCTGTTCGTAGCTATACCAGATTATATCATTACACAACATTCTAACCTTGTTTGTATTTGAACCAATAAGCGATCTTCGAGATATTTTGGCGAAGTCACCAATAGTGGCTGCATGCAAGGGAATCACCAGCAATTGTTGTTGTCAAATTCTTGCGATAGAGACTGTCCATATCGGGGGTCTTAGACGCGCTCTGTTGCATCCTTAAGCGCTTGAAGAGCCAGCCGGGAGATGAAGCCGCTACCCTCCTACTCTTGGCGTTTCCGCACCTCATCCTAGCCATGCCTCCCAAGCCAGGCATAGGTCAGAAGGCGCTGATCACAGAGCGGTTGGGTGCGTTCTGGGAGGGGAGGTGGCGGGAGCTGTTCGACTCTGCCATGGCGGCAGCGCGGCCAGCAGTTCGCCCACTTTCCTACACTCGCTCTGACCAGGACCCGGATGCCATCCGCCTGTCACGGTGCCGATCTCGGTGCAAAGTGGGGGAGTGGAGCCGAGGATTGGCTTGCCTTACAGCAAGGGAGTTGGCTCGACCGTCTGAGGTCATGGTGCAGTCGCTGCGAGAGAAGCACCCGGCTAGCGCAGGCGAGGTACCACAGTGGGTCCGCGATTTCACCATCGATACCGCTCAACGGCCTTCACTCACGACCGACATCCTGGCCAGAGCTATCCATACAGCCGCTCGAGCCTCAGCAGCAGGGCCATCGGGGTGGGTCACAGAGCATCTGCGCGACACCTTCCTCACTGAACCTACCTGCCTTTCCCACCTGTTGGAAGTGTTCAACCAATGGGTGGCGGGACAGGTCCCCGAGCGGGCTCGGCCGTGGCTCGCCGCATCCAACCTAGTCGGCCTTTCCAAGCCTAACGGCGACGTCCGGCCGGTGGCGATCGGGGAGGTGCTTCCTCCTATCCTTGCTCGAGCTCTCTGCATCTCGCTCCGCCCTGCGATGGTTTCCTACTTCTTGCCGTGCAACCAGCTGGGAGCGGGCACCAGGGTCGGGGCGGAGATTCTCACTCATTCTTTCCGGTCAGCGCTGGCCACTCACCCCGACTGGTGTGCGCTACAGATAGACGTCGCAAACGCCTTCAATTCGTTTCACCGTCATGTGATGCTCGATGGGCTGCGGGAGTCGCCTTTCTCAGGGATGATCCCATTCTTGCGTGTCTTTTATGGGACACCTAGCGACCTGTACCTCCGAGCAAGCCCTTTCGTACAGAGCCTCGAGTCAGCACGGGGATCGAGGCAGGGGGACCCGCTCGGCCCTTTTCTTTTCGCGTTCACGCAGCAGCAGGTGATGGAGCCGGTTACTAGGGAGTTCAAGGACCTGCTTTTCCTCAGCTATGCAGACGATACCTATATTTTGGGGCCAGCGGCTAGGATTCTGGAGGCTTTTGGGGTGCTGCGGGAGCGGTTGGAGTGGGTAGGGCTGGAGGTGCAGGCGCACAAGTGCCGGTTTTGGGAGCGCGAGGGCAAGGAGGTGGAGCGGGCACTGCCATTGGGGATGCAGCGGGTGGATGAGGGTCTTACTGTGGTGGGCGTGCCTATTGGAGAGGAGGTTTGGGAGGTGGTCCGGCTACGGGAGCGGCTTCGACAGTTGCAGGCGCCACTGCCATGGCTCCCCTTGCTCGACCACCCCCAGATGGCTTCACACCTCCTCGCCATTGCAGTTTCAGCGCGGCCGATGTACCTCGCCCGGACTATGCCGCCGCGTCCGGAGGTGGTTGAGGCTTTTAGGGATTGGGACAGCTGTTTAGAGGATTGATTTGAGCAGCTTTTCCCACCTGGCACTTGGGAGCAAGACCCCGACCGGTCTAGGCGCGCACGCATGCAGCTGCATCTCCCTGTGCGTCTCGGTGGGTTCGGGATCCGGGCGGCGGCCTCTTTGAGCCCACTGTCCTATGTTTGCGGGTGGGCGCAGGCCGCGCGGGACATTGCACAGTTAGGGGTGGCGGGTGAGGAGGCGATGTTTGCAGAGTACCTCACCACTTCGACAGGGGCAGAGTTTCTTGACCCGTGGTTTGTCAAGGCTCTCGAGCAGCTGCCAGCGACTATCCGCCACGAGATACCGGGCTTACCTCTGTGTGTAGCGGCCCCTCCTGTTCGGCTTTTCCAGGCGCGTCAGCGGCAGTTAGCTGTAGAGGAGCTCCAGGCACTGCGCCGCTTGGCTCGTGACGATGCTACCTTGGCCCGTTTCACATCCCTTCAGGGCCCCGGGGCAGGTGCATGGGTTTCGGCGGTTCCGGCTCACTCAGATCTCACATTCACTGCGGCTGAGTGGGGCATTGCTGCTGCTATACGGCTTGGCCTCCCAATTCAGCAGCTGCAGGTGGCGGGGAGGGGTGTTTGTGGCACAGCGTATGTTGACCCAGCAGACCCGCACCATGCCCTGAGATGCAGGCACCAGCATGGTCCTTCTCGGGTGCATGATGAGGTGAAGTTTGCGGTGGCGAAGATCTCTAAGGCGTCGGGGGGGGGGGGGGGGGTGGTGACATTGGAGGATAGTGTGGTGCTGCAAGGGAAGCGGGTTGATGTGGCGGTGCGACGTCCAATGGCTGGAGAGGCTCACGCCCTAGAGATCAGCGTCGCGGACCCGCTATCGCTGTCTCTATCACTGTTGGGACAGTGCGGGCGTTAAATAGGTGTGGCGGCAAGGGAATGGGAGCGTCGCAAAACGAGTGATTACGCGCCTCTGCTTGCACGCAACCGGGGCGTGCAGTTCACCCCTTTGATAGTCGAGACGTGGGAGTGTCTCGGCGGTCGTTTTCAGCGGTGGCTTCGTCAGCAGGGAGATGCGCATGTGGGGCTAGCTGTGTGGCGGGGGGCTTGTCGAGAGGACGACTCTGTGTTTTTGGCTTATCTTTTAGGGTCACTGAAGGCGCTCATCGGGGTGGCGTTACAACGTGCGCAAGCCCGTGTCATCCTGCTTCGAGCGGCGTCTTCCATGGGGGGGATTAACGTAGATTTGGCGGATCGGGAGAGGGACGATGTCGATGTGGAAGGCAGGGCTCTCTGGGTGGAGACCCCGTACATGGTCCATACGTTGATGTGATAAAGGGGGGGGGGGGGGGGGGGGGGGATGGGGCGTGGGATGGGATGTCTTGATGGGGTGTCTTGACTGGGCGTTTTGATTGGGTATCTTGAGGGGGGGTTTTATGTGTGTTGCATTTGGTTTCTTTTTGGGAGTTTCATTTTACTTCTCCCTTTCTTTCTCCATTCCCTTTCCTTTTCAGACACACTATGGCGAGACACATGGTGTAAGAGTTAAGGGCTGAGGTTGGGGGAAACTGGTGTCATAATGAGTCCTCTGCACCCACCGGGTCAGCTCCAACTCCAGAACCAGAAACTCCAGCTCCAACTCCAGCACCCCCAGAACCAGAAACTCCAGTGCCTACTCCAGCTCCACCTCCAGCTCCAACACCAGCTCCAACTCCAGCACCCCCAGAACCAGAAACCGGTACAGGAACAGGCGCAGCACCAACCTCTCGAGAGCTAGCACCAGCGGCACGCTGCGAGGAGGACTGTGGGGAGGGAGGCTGTACCGGAGGGGCTACCGAAGGAGGAGGGGTAGCCTGGGACACACCTGACGGGGCTGGGCCAGGGGGGGGAGGCTGTACCGGGGGAGCAGGAGGGGGAGCGGCAGTCAAGAAGAGGGGGGGAGGAGGAACCGGGAGACCTCGACTGGGGTACCTGACGTAGTACGGAGTGGACTCCTCGAAACGGACGTCACGGGAGTCAAAGAACCGGTGAGAGGGAGGGTGGTAAAAGGTGAAGTCAGAGGAGTCCTCAGAGAAACCAAGGAAGACACAGGGGACGGTACGAGGCGAGAGCTTGTCCGCGGAGGTGTCGCGGACAAGAGCCAAGCACCCCCAGACACGAAACCGCGACGCAACACCAGGGGACCCTGTCCAAAGACTGGTCGGTGAAACCTCTGGTCGAGAGACACGTGGCCAGAGGTTCAGCTGGTGCGCGGCGTACCTGACCGCGTAGGGCCACAGAAAATGGGGGGCACAGGCGTGAGTCAGGGAGGTGCGGGCGATCTCCATGACCAGGCCTATGCGGCGCTCAGCAACCCCATTCTGCTGTGGGGACTCTGGAAGCGTCCAGGACTGACGAATGCCCTGCTCGCGACAGAATCCAGCGAGAATGCCGGAGCGAAACTCACCCCCACGGTCGGAGTGGAGACAGCTGACACGACGACCACGAGTGTCCTCGGTGGTGAGCAACCACCTGATCAGCGTAGAAGTCACCTCAGACTTCTTCGCCAGAGGGAACACTGTGGTGTAGCGGGAGAAGTCGTCAACGACCACCAGAAAGTAACGCTCACGCTCAGGGCCTAGACGAGGGGCGGGGCCCCAGACGTCCAAGTGAAGCGTCTCAAAAGGCTCGGTGGCCGGACGAAGGGAGGAGGAGTGAGGGGTGGCGCGCAGCCTACCCTCGACGCACGGACGACACGGCGGCGCAAGCGAAGGCGGCAGCGACGGCAAGACACATGGGAGGCCTACGACAAGACGCTGACTAGACATAGCGCGCAGACGAGGAAGGGACGGGTGCCCCATCCGGTGGTGCCACAGAACGGTGGGGTGGGCAAGCGACCGGCAGGAGCACGACGCAGCGACTGGAACAGACGTAGGAACCTGACACGACACAGACACCTGGGGGGACGAAGCAACCTGGTGAGACACGGGGACCCGAACGGGGGGGGGAACCGGGGGCAGTGGCAGTAGGGGGGGCTGCTGGTGCGGGCGCTGGTGCTGCTGGTGCTGCTGCTGCTGCGGCTGTGGCTGCTGCTGCTGCTGCGGCTGCTGCTGCGGCGCACGCGGGCCAGTGTGAAGAGTGTAGAGACCCGAGCCCGGCTCAGCAGTAAAGGTAGCAAGAGGCTGGTAAGAGTCTCCGTCAACACACACCGCAGTCTCTCCAGAAGGCTCAAACCACACACCCACGTGCTGACTCACGAGGGGTCGCACGCCCACCAAGTTCCGGGAGAGCGAGGGGACGTGAAACCCAGTGAGAGACCCGGAGGGAGCAGCAGGACACGGTAAAGTGGTAGTGTGACGTGCAGTGACTGGTCCCGTAGTGGGATCAGCCAACGCTACAGAAACAGGCGCAGGAAGTGGTGTAAGTGTCGTGCTGTCCCGGAAGAAGCAGTGGGAGGCTCCAGAGTCCAGTGTGAACGACAGCGAAGCGTCCCCTGAGGTAGTCGCTGGTCTAGAGTCTACACAAGTACCTACACTAGCAACAGGCAACTGAGCAAGACTAGCACCTAAGCTAACAACACCAGAGTAAACAGAGTCAGAAACACTAGAGTCAACAACAGCATACATAGCATGAGGAGCACTAATCAGATCAACTAACTGCTCAGCAGACATGCCCCACAGAGCGGAGCCGTAGCGCTGAACCAGAGGAAGCCAGTCAGGAGCAGGACCGCCAACCCCGTAGGTCAACCGGACCGTGTCAGTGAGCTGAGCAAAGCACTGACCAGGGGGGTGAAAGCGGCCACAAGGGTGGCCCCGACGAGGACCTGTCAGAACCTGGTAGGGGCAGGGAGGGTAAGCCGCACCGCGCTGGGGCTGACGCAGCCCCGACCCCGGAGCCAGCTGCTGACGCTGCTGCTGCTGAGGCTGCTGGGAGGAAAGGGGCTGCTGCTGCTGCTGAAGGTGCTGCTGACGCTGAGCCTGGTACCACGCCGCTGCTCCACCTAGCGGGGCCGGCAGTACAGGAGGCGACTGACGAGCTCGGGGGTCGCCGCCACCAGCAGGTGCAGTGGAGTCACCAGCCGCTGCACGAGGGGTCTCTCCAGACGCTGCACTCCCACCACCCCCAGTCGCAACAGCACCCCCACTACCTCCGCTACCTCCGCCTCCACCTCCACCAGAACCACCTTTCTTGCCCCCCCTGCCGCGGGACCGCGACGCAGTCGTAACAGCAGCCGCAGTCGCGTCAGTGGCGGCAGTGGCAAGAGAGGCAGTGAAGGTGGGTAACTGCGGGACTGTGCACCCGTGGAAGAGTGGGGGGGACACAGTACCAGAGGCGGCAGCTACCGAACGAAGGTTGCTCTCGACGTCCTTAAGTGCAGACTCAAGGACCTCGATAGTTAGCTCACTAGGGTGCTTCAGCAGAAGCGCGTCACGAACGGAGGCAAGGCGGTCAAGGAGGCTAGTGGCGATGAAATAGACAGTGATCGCCATGGGGGGAGGAAGCAGTGCAAGCTGTGCCTCAGTGCAAGCAGCGCGGTAACTAGCGTCGAGCGAGCGGAGGTGAGCGATCAAGTCAGCAGAGCGCTCAAACGAGGCAAGATCAGGAAACAGGAACGGGAGGAAAAGACGGCCAAGAGAGACAGTAGCGGGAGTAGAGTAGCGGGCCTTAATCGCAGTGAGGTACGCAGCAGCGGTGCGAACCTGAGTAAAGTGGACCTCCTCTGACTCAGGGAGGAGGCTGCTGAGTGCGATGCAGGCCGCAGCGTCACGCGACGTCCAAGCCGTCCGGTCAGCGCGCTGACGGGCAAAGCGAGCCGTAGCAGCGTCGTCAGGAGCAGGGCCTAAAGCTGTAGGCTCGGGGGGCTCAGGGAGGTCACCAGTAGCGTGTGACCAGAGGGTCTCGCCCCCCTGGACCTGACTCTCTAACAGACGGCGAGCGCGAAGAAGCCAGACGGAAAAGTCAAGGGGTCTACCGTCAGCGTCGAAACGAAGAACTCGCGGAGTCGCCATAGTGAGGACTAAAGCGAACGAACAGGCGAGTAACAACCGGGGGAGAAGAGGACTCAGTCGCAGTGGAAGAGCGGGCTAGGGCGACGGGCCAGGACGTAGGGTAGGGCAACGGGCCAGGGCCTAGGGTAGGGCGACGGGCCAGGGCGTAGGGAGGGCGACGGGCCAGGGCCTAGGGTAGGGCGACGGGCCAGGGCCTAGGGTAGGGCGACGGGCCAGGGCCTAGGGTAGGGCGACGGGCCAGGGCCTAGGGTAGGGCGACGGGCCAGGGCCTAGGGTAGGGCGACGGGCCAGGGCCTAGGGTAGGGCGACGGGCCAGGGCCTAGGGTAGGGCGACGGGCCAGGACTTAGGGTAGGGCGACGGGCCAGGACTTAGGGAGGGCGACGGGCCAGGGCCTAGGGTAGGGCGACGGGCCAGGGCTTAGGGCAGGGCGACGGGCAAGGGCGTAGGGCAGGGCGACGCGACGGGGGAAAGGGCGGGAGCGACGCGACGGGGCAGGGCGACGCGACGGGACAGGGCGACGGGACGGGGGGGGAACAGGCGGGCACGACGCGACGGGGGGAACGGGCGCGACGCGACGGGGGGGAAAGGGCGTGACGCGACGGGGGGAAAGGGCGCGACGCGACGCGGGGGGGGGGGGGGGGGGGCGCTAGGCGACGGGTAGAAAGGGCGCTAAGCGACGGGGGAAAGGGCGCTAGGCTCGGTACTAGGCGCGGTAACAACGGAACTGGTACGAACGAGGGGTAGGATCAGGCTCGGGAGGTACGAACGGAGAACGGAGGAACGGGATCCCACAGGATCCTAACCTAGCTGATACCATGTCATAATGAGGAATGATGTTCCATTGATGTTGGTTGGGGTACATATGACAAACCCTAACTTCTGTACCCCCTAAGACAAACCTCACTACAGGCTACAACATTTGACAACTGGATCACTGTTGGTTCGGTCACTGAGCGAAAACACTGCCTATGCCAGAAGTCAGATTGCTGTATGAAACAAGTGGTGGCGCGAGCAGGTCGTTCACTAACTCAACACAACATTCTAACCTTGTTTGTATTTGAACCAATAAGCGATCTTGGAGATATTTTGGCGAAGTCACCAATAGTGGCTGCATGCAAGGGAATCACCAGCAATTGTTGTTGTCAGATTCTTGCGATAGAGACTGTCCATATCGGGGACATTCGATTGCCTCGCGTCGCGTCACTTGTGTTTGTGTGTCCCGCGCCCTCAGAACAGAACGCTTGTCTGGCATCACATCGAAATTATTGTTGTGAATGGGGTCTTTACAAGATCCGAAGTCAGCGGGAATGGGCCCTTCAGTCCTGGTGTCCACAATAATTTTGCCGAGCACGACCCTCGTTCCACTCCCCCATTTTTTAGCAAACATTGTGCTGACATTGAATGTGGATCCTAAGTGTTGCGGAGAGACCTAACATTTTCGACTTCAATAATTATATGTCCAATAAATCCATTTCCATTTCTGTTTTCGCCAGCGTCGTCACCTTCGCACACACCTCAGGAAACGCTTATTCCAAGGCGCGCTGGCGACTAAAGAAACGCGTTCCCTGCAGCGACTCCTGTCGCAGCGGTCGCACATGGCCAAGGCCTTGCCGCGCCCGTCGGGGGCTGCTTCCCATCACAGAGGCCCCTCGTCGCGCAGAAGCTCCGTGGAGCGGATGATGCGCCGCACGCTAGTAGGCTCGCTGCGATGCCCATTTAAGCACCCGTGCCCGATCGGCCTCGTCACCTCTTCCGCTTTACCAATCACTAGTAGCACCAATCATTCCTCTAGCACCTCTTCCCGTCGGAGTTGCTCCGTTGCACATCTGCTACTACTCAAGCTATTGGAATTACTCGTGTCGTTCAAGGGTGAAGCTTGAGCACCATCCGTCCACCGGAGAAGCGGCAGCATGGGGAATGGCAAGGCCGTGCGTGCGCTGCTCGCCATCGTGCTCGCCTTGCTTCCATGCTCGCCTTGCTCTTAACGCCGCTCGGTTGCTCCCCCACCTGACCAACGACCCGTGCACTCGTGGCGCCCTCCCTCCCCCTGTGTGCAGTGTCAAGTATGTTCCCGGTGTAGTGACGTCCGCCCTCTGCCTCACTGGTGCGTCCCCTCTTGCCTTGCCCCTCCTCCATTCCGCTCACCGCAAACTCCTCCTCCTCTCTATCGCACTCTCTCCTCTCTCTCTCTCTCTCTCTCTCTCTCTCTCTCTCTCTCTCTCTCTCTCTCTCTCTCTCTCTCTCTCTCTCTCCGTATATATATATATAAATATATCTCTATCTCTATCTCTCACTCTCACCCTCACCCTCACCCTCACTGAACGCTACCCTGACTGGATGGACCCACGAGCTCACCTGCCCTCTCTCCCTCTCTCTCGCCCTGCCTGTGCTGCAGAAACCTCACCACCTGCCACCGGCACCACCGGCACCACAGCACCTTCCAGCAACATTCTGGAATCCGCCAACTCCGTTTCAGAGTCTGCCCGGGCCATGCTGGAATCCACCCTTGGCGTTACAGATACTGGTACCGGCACCGCCATTTCAGGGGTTTCTAATGCCTCTATCGATCCTAGTACCGGTAACAACACTGCCGAAGGACCTGCCGCCACTGACGCTGCAGGTTCTGTGGTCTTCACTCCAGACACTTTCACCAACGATGCAGTGAATCCCACCAAATCCCCCGAACCTTCCGTGAACGCGTATGACACTTACACTACTGCTGCCACCGTGCCGGGCTACTGAGCTGAGCTGAGCCAATGGAGGTAGGAATGAGGTGTGCAAAGTGATCGCCACAGCGCAGAATAAATGAGGGATATACCACCGTATTGCGTAGTTTGGTTGCTTTCTAGGGATAGGTTGCTGTGATACTGTGTTTCTCAAACAGGAAGGTGGTTGTGTTGAGCAGGTGCCAAAAATGGCAGCTGGCAAGTGGAGGCAGTAGAAGCAGCAGAAGCAACTACCGTAGTAACAGCACTGAGGTACCGTCATCGCCCGGATATAAGACAGTGTTGAATAGTAGACAGGGGTTGTCTACTATACGGGTGTCTCTTATAAACAGGCTAGCCTTTTTATACGACACTTATTTGTGTGTACGAGTTAAGACATACGGTATATGTCTTCTAATCAGAACCGGGGTTTAGGTGTTTTCTTATAAACATGGGGTGTCTTCTAAACGAGGCTTCTTTACTTTAGGGGGGTACATGCATACATTCATGAATCTCTACTTCTACGTAACCCCCCCTCAGTCACCGCCTCCTCGCCTGCGCTAACAACAGGCTCTACACCCAGGTATGCTTAGCCGTCTCCCTAGGCTCGATCATGCAGTCAGCCTCGGCCGCCGCCCCGCGGTAGTTGGGGGTCTCCTGGTACAGCACCTCCAGGCCGGTTGCCACTGCCACCTCCCGCACGCCCTCCGCCTGCATCGCCTCCTCCTCCTCCTCCTCCTCCTCCTCCTCCTCTGGAGTCCGACCGAGCAGGCGCGTGTTGTCGCCTGTGGTCCCCCTGAGGGACACGTCCGCGGAGACATCAGTGGTGCTCCTAGCGCGCATGTGAGACATCACCAGGTGGTTCTCCGTTCCGTCCAGCTTGCTTGAGATCCCACAGTGGCGGAACGCGTCGATGATGATCTGCTTGGGGACTTGATCCCAAGCCTCCGCGATCCACTGCAGCACCACGGGGTGCGGCGGCCTCCGCAGGTTCCCTGCGGGTGGGTTTGAGGACGGGGCAGCGAGATGTTAGAGACACGGACATGAAGGAGCATGTTTAAGACAAGGAAAGGAAACAGAACAGAAATAATACCGTAAATGAAGGACCAACTCACCCTTCTTCGTCTTCAGGTGAATCCCCTCACGCATGAACCACCTTGCGTAGCGCACTCGCACAGCAGCCTTGAAGCACCGGTTGATTGAGACGTCCAGGGGTTGAATCTGGCTCGTACAACCCGCTGGGATGATTGCAGGGGTGATGCTGTGCGTGCGGTACGATTGAAGCATGGTCTGGGTGATGTGACCGCAGTAGGAGTCCAACACCAGCATCGCACGCCTCGCGTTCTGGCCGCGCTGGGGGTTCAGATGGGGCAACACCTCCTTGGACAGCCAGGTCTGCACAGCGCTCTCGTCCATCCACCCGTTGTCCTGTGCTTGGACCACGATTCCTGCCAGGCACACAAAGGACAGACGGGCTTCAGCACAGTGGGGCACGCTCATCAGGCAGTCGCACGGTTGAATTTATTACGCTTACCTTCCGGAATCTCACAGTTGGGGACGTTCTTCATCTTGAACCCCACCCACGGCCGCAGCTTCTCCCCGGATGCAGTGCACGCGAGCATCACCGTGAAGCACGTTTTCTGGTAGCCTGCAGTGCGGATTGAGACCGAGCGCGCGGCGCGGTGCTCGATGGTCCGTTCCGCTGGCATCTCCACGAATAGTGGAGTCTGGTCCGCGTTGATGATGCGGGCCAGGTCAATGTTGTGCCGCGCCCTGTTGATGCGCACGAACTTCCAGAAGGACTCGCAGTCTTTCGCGCACTCTGCAAACGGTACACGCGCAACGGAAACACGGGATCGTTAGACACTGGGTGAGGGACATGCATTCAATAGCCCACGCGCGACACGAATTCCTTCAACACGCACCAGCCGACAGTCGTTGGCCGACCTTGGTCTTCACCCGCATCACCAGGTTCCAGCGGTCACGGAAACGCTGGCTCCAGTGAGAGCTCGCGTTCTAGTTCTTGCCGGCGTGATGCTTCTTCATCCACTCACTGCTCCAATTCTGGGTGTCCTTCACCGAGATGGCCACCCCGTTAGCGCGCTGAAGGCAGATGTAGCGGTACAACGCTGCCTCCATGTCGGGGTAGTGTGAGTGGCGCCCCCCCCCCCCCCCCCTGTGCATTCGCTTGCGGCAGTTAGCCGCGCCCTTGTAGACGCCCGCAGACGCCTCCGCACTCCAGCGTCTGATGCAGGCGATGGACGCGGTTGACTCCACGCTCGTCTTCTTCAAGGAGCCGAGCTCCAGATAGCGACGCGCCCACTTAAGCTTCTCACGCACGGTCCAACTGCGGCGCTTCCTCGTAGTGTCCTTGCTGCGAGGGGAAGGTGGGCGGGTGTTGGGATTATGGAGGGTGGGGTCCTTCGGCGTGACCTTCTCAGGGAACGTGGGAACCGGGCCCGCCGCCGCCGCATACTCATTGTCGCTGCCCAGAGTCTCGTTCACGACGATGTCGTTAGGATTCGGCGCCTTCTTCGCCTTCTTCTTAGCCGCACCCTTGCTAGATCCCGGGTCTCCGTCGGATGTCCGCTTCTTGTTGCTTGTGCGGCGACGAGCAGGGGCCTTAGCAGGGGCTTCTGCGACCTTGGCTTTTCCCTTCTCCGCAGCGGTGAGTTTCGGGTGACGCTCCTCCCCCGGACTGTCGTCGTCAGAGAGCACCACGCGGGCCCGCTTCGACTTGGACTGTAGGTGATGGCGCAGCCTCCGCTTCAGTAGCGGAACGTCGTCGTCTGTCCCAAGGCTCCATGGGTCGTCGTCGCCGCTTTCACCATCAAATAAGACGGCATCCGCAGCAACCGTGTCCGACTCTGCCACAGCATCCGCATCCGCAACTGCGGCCGCGCCGTCTTCGGCCTCCTCATTCGCATCCATCGCCGCTTCCTGTGCATCCGCCGCTGCCTCCGCGTTGTCACCATTCGCATTTTCACCTCCGTCGTTGTCCGAATCTCCAGCCCGCCACTCTTCCACCTCGTCGTCGCTCCCGACCGGCCGATTCCACCATTCGTCCTCCTCGATGTCGGCAGGACCTAATTTGTCGCCTGAAGCGCTGTCGTCGTGGCCGTTCTCCGGCCAATCCTCCTCGGCGTCGTCGCCGTTCGCTTCTTCTCCGTCGTCCTCATCACACCTCGCACGAATATCCTTTTAGCGTTCCCTCTTTCTTGGTTTGTCCTCTGTTTACTAATGCAGTTTTTATGCTAGTACGGCATTGAAAGAGCCAGGCTTATTTGAAGTTCCTGGCTTCGCTTGCAGTCATGGCGAGGTGAAGCAGGAGTTCACTACCCTACCATAGGTTGGATTGGATTGGATCCTGGCCACACTCCTAAGAAAATAAGCAACCTGCAAGGGCAGGTGTGCCAGAAACTGTGTTAAAATTCTTATGAGAGCATGAATTATGATTAAGCCGAAAGAACTACAGTAAGACTACGGATGGTGTGTTGTACGGATTGAGGCAGCAGCAGAAAAAGAGGAGTTGAGAAGCAGGCAGGATCAAGACTGCAGAACAAAGAGCATTATATCCTGCACCTTATGGGGCCGTGGGAACAAAGAACTTTGGGGGTTTGGGCCGGGCAGCCCGGGCAGATGGGTTGAAAAATGCAGGGGCAGTGGGAGCGGAAAAAAGTGGAACGGCGGGAGGGGCGGTAGGAGGGGCACCTTGGGTTGAGGAGACAGGAGGGGCAGTGAGGGGAGGGGCAGAGAGGGGAGGGGCAGAGAGGGGAGGGGCAGAGAGGGGAGGGGCAGAGAGGGGAGGGGCAGAGAGGGGAGGGGCAGAGAGGGGAGGGCAAGAGAGGGGAGGGGCAGAGAGGGGAGGAGCGGAGAGGGGAGGAGCGGAGAGGGGAGGAGCGGAGAGGGGAGGAGCGGAGAGGGGAGGGCAAGAGAGGGGAGGGGCAGAGAGGGGAGGAGCGGAGAGGGGAGGAGCGGAGAGGGGAGGAGCGGAGAGGGGAGGCGCAAGAGAAGGGTTGGGAGGTGAAAGGGAAGAAGAGGGAGCAGAAAGAGGCATGGAGGGAGCGAGGGAAGGAGACATGGAGGGAGGGAGAGAGGGAGGCATGGAGGGGGGGAATGGCTGAAGCGAGACACTCATGGTGGTTTCATGTGTCAGGGCAGTGGGAGGGGCAGAGGAGGGTGCAGCCATCGGTGGGGGCAGAGCAGCAGCAGCAACTGCAGCCGCAGCAGCAGACGCAGCGGGTGCACCCGTGGTGGGGGGAAGGGCAGTGTTAAAGTCAGAAAGGGGAGTGGTTGGTGGGAGAGAGTGAGCGGGGAAGTGTGTGGGAGGGGCTACTGGGGGAGGGGCAGGATAAGGATCAGAAGGATCGAATGCAGGGGATGCATGGTGTGCAGCAGTAGCGGGGATGGTGGGGTTGAGAGTAGTGGTGAGGGCGACAGAGGCGGAGGAGGAGGAGGTGGCGTGTGCAATGGGGGCGGGTTGAAAGGGGACTGGGAAGGATGCAGGGGCAATGGTGGCAGGCGGAGGTGCAGGAGAGGGCGCTAGTTGTGGGGGTATGGAGTGGAAAGGAGGAGGAGCAGCAGCAGCAGCGACAGAGGCGGCGGCGGCAGCAGCAGATGAATCTCCAGCTGAAGCAGCAGCATCTGAGGTAAGAACAGGTGTGGGGGAAGCAACGACAGGTGCTGCTGCACCGCCGGTCGCAGTGACAGCAGATGCAGCCGCAGCTGCAGCAGTGACAGAAGCAGCGACGGCAGCAGCAGCGCTGGTGGTGGTACTACCAGTAATGATTGCAGCAGGCACAGGAGCAGGCATGGAACCAGGCACGGGAGCAGGCACGGGAGCAGGCACGGGAGCAACAGCAATGCAGCTTGCGTTCGAACCATAATTCCCACCTGCACCGCCCAGAACCCCCTCTCCTTGCACGCACTGCCCCCCCTCTTGACCCTGTGACGCCTCATCCACCGCACGCTGTGGCAAATACGGGTGCTGGGAAAGCAGAGAGCGAGGCGGAGGGACGGCAAGAGGTGCTGCAGGGGAGGCGTAAGAGGGGGATGAGGCGGGGGACGAGTGCAGGGCTGAGCGGAGGAGGGAGAGGGCGGAGGCAGCTCGGGAGGCGAGGAGGCGCAGGCGCAGGAGAGTGGCTGCGAGGGAGGTGAGGGAGGAGCGCGCGGAGAGGAGGAGATGATCCGCGGAGGAGAGGGCTGCACGCATCTGGAGGGGGGAGAGGGGGAGGAGGGGGAGGGGAGGGAGTGAGATGAGAGGGGAGGGAAGGAGGGATGGAGGAAGGGAAGGGAAGAGTTTTATAGCGGAGGAGAGGGAGGAGGTGGAAGGGATGGAAGGGAGAGAAGCAGGTGTGGCAGCCTGTGCGCGTTTCTATAGGTGATGCTGGCTGGCAGATGGGGAGAAGCATGTTGGTATGGGATGGATGTGTGGCGAGGGCGCTCCTTGGAGGAGAAAGATGGGGAGCGACAAGGTAGTGTGATGTGACGAAGGAAGTTGCAGGTATCCGGTTTGGTGGGCAGCAGAGAAGGGACGGTAAGGAGGCAAGGACGCGAAGGGAGGGGGAGACGCATAGGGAGGGTGGGAAGGGTCAGGAGGATGGGGAAACGGAGACTGAAACAGCAAGACCAGGGGATGTTATGGCATGCCTGGGCGTGCAGTGACTTTTGAGTCGAATCAAAAGTCACCTCAATATGAGTGGGCATGCGGCATGGTAGTTGTGGAGTCATCAGACCTGCGCACGGCACGGTATGCCATGGCATGTCACGGTGTCGGCATGTGCAACGGAAAAGACCAGCGTGAACAGACCAGCGTGAACAGACCAGCATGAACAGACCAGCATGAACAGACCAGCGGAGGGGGAGGACGTGGTAGAGGGAGAGGGTATATGAGAGAAGGGAGAAGGGAGGAGCAGAGGGAGTACACTGGGGCGAGTCTTGGAAATAATGGGGGGTACGTGGTTTTGGTCAGAGTATACTTCGGTAAGAACGAATAAGAAACATACACTTCAGGGGAGTTTGAAACATTGGTGTCGGCTGTGTTGTGGAGGGAAGTCATACGTGTGGTGTACGAAAAGCTGCCTGAGAGGTCAGAGGAGAAGGCGCTGGAATATTTGAAGCACAAAGTGCGAGAGTTCTAGGAACGAAGGTGGACTGCATCAGGGCTCATCTGACAAGAGCTCGGACTTGGTGCGAGGATGTGAAATCTGCTTTTGTGGACACAACGGCGGCGCGGGAAGATGTCGCCAACCTATCGGTGAAATTTCTGGCACTGAGGGCTGCATGGGCGTGGGTCCAAGTGCCCATGCAGCCCCCAGTGCCAAAGATTCCACCGGTAGGTTGGCGACATCTCCCCGCGCCTCCCGTGTGTCCACATCAGCAGATTTCACATCCTCGCACCAAGTGCGATCTTTTGTCATATAAGCCCTGATGCAATCCACCTCCGTTCCTGTTAAGAACCCCGCGCTTTGTGCTTCATATCTTCCAGCGCCTTTTCCTCTAACCTCTCAGGTACCTTTTTGTACACCACACGTATGACTTCCCTCCACAACGCAGCTGACACCAATGTTTTAAACTCCCTTAAGTGTATGTATTTTATTCATTCTTACCAAAGTATATCTTGACCATAGTCATATACCCCCCATTATTTCCCAAGTCTCACCTTTGTGTACTCTCTTTGCTCCTCCCTTCTCCTTTCTTTCATATCCCCTCTCTCTCTACCACGTCCTCCCCCTCCCCTGTTACTCTTCCCATGCCCTTCCCCTCCGCTGCTATTCCCCCTAAACAGACCAGATGAACAGACCAGCATGAACAGACCAGCATGAACAGACCAGCATGAACGGACCAACAGGAGCCGAGCATCCATGGTACGACACAACACGCACGCACGCATGGCACGGCACGTCACAGCATGGCAAGGCACGGCACGGCGCGGCGCGGCACGGCACGCCAGGGCAGGGCAGGGCAAGGCATGGCACGGCATGTCACAGTGTGGGCGTGGCTGGCTGACCTGCGCGGTGAAGCGCGTCCATGCATGGCCGGGCTCCAAGAGCGATGAGCGGAAGTCGTCCAACGATGCCTGCAGGGGTGGCGTGAGGTGGGGTGCAAGGGAGGCACCGGGGTGAGGGGAAGGAAGGATGGAGAAACAATGCGCAAGAAAAAGAAAAGGAAAGAAAAGAAAAACCAAACAAAACAAACAAAGGAAGCAAACAAGAGGAAGCGAAACGAAAGAAGATTGCCATTTTCCAGACGAGCAGGAGCAGCCCAGAGGAGGCACACAAGGCTGATGAGCGACGCGTGGTAGACAGATGGCCGGCAGGTTAGCAGACAGGAGAGCAGAGAGAAGAGCAAGCAGGATAGCAGTACCTCGAAGGAAGAGAGGAGCATGTGACGAGTGACGTGGGAGGCGCGCGCTGCATGCGGTGATGCGGGCAGCGCGAGCGGAGGCGAGGCGGGTCGCGGCAGCAACGACGGAGCGGAGGAACCTGTGACGACATCTCCATCCTCCCCTCTTGGTTGCTCCTGCTGCTGCTGCGACCGTCGCCGTCGCCGCCGCAGCTTACCCCTCTCTTGAACTCCTCCCTCACGATCGTCGAAATCTCCGCGATCGACGCGCTCGCGCGTCTCCTCCGCCGTTAGATCGCCCACCAGATCGCCGAACGTAACCAGCGGCCCGCGCGGCCCCGCCGGCGCCGCTGCTGCCGACCACATGGCTGCGAAGCGCCGAACGTAGCTCGAGACCTTATTCTCAAAGAAATCTTAACGAGAGAGAGACATCACGTCACTTCGCGTGAAGAGGACTTGGCGTTGTGGCGCAAATCGTGGTCGGACGTGTGATGAACATGGTTCAGTGGAGATTTCGAAATTACAGTGGTTGAATGCGGTGGAGGAGTAACACAAAATCTGTTGCGCACTAATATCTCGTTGATAACATCCCAGGACTGCTTTCAATTTCATGCAGATGGTTGTGGATACACCCATCACATCACATTGAGATAACACCTTGCAGAGAACAGTGCAAGCAGCACTGTATGCCCAGAATAGCATGTTAGTCATCAGCGGCCAACACGTGTAGCCATGCCCTGCCGTAATCACATTTATCCGCAACCCATTTCTTCTCTAAATATCACTTCGAAGATGAGAGAACTTGTAAAGAATCCGCACTCCAACATACAGCAACCAGACGAGGCGAGGCGTGAGACAGAGGGGCGGGGATGAAGCCGGGACGGGAGAGGCGAGACGAGGCCAGATGAAGCGAAGAGATGAGATGAGACTTCCCCGGCCCAAACAATTCCCTCGGTCCACTAATAGTACATGTGCTGCTGCCCTCCTCCCACCCCTCCTGAATTTACTCCGGACCCTGCCCGATATGCATCGTACCCTGCCCCTCCACTTCCCACCCCAGGCACCCCCCCTGCTGCACCCCCCATCCCTGGCCCCACCCCTCCCGGCCCCATTCCCCCTCCCATCCCCCCCATCGCCCCCAGCCCCCCCATACCCGGCCCCATTCCCCCCATCCCAGGCCCCATCCCCCCCATCCCAGCCATTCCCCCCATCCCCCCCATGCCCGCCATTCCCCCCCCAGCCATGCCCATGCCCATGCCCATACCCATGGGCATGGCGCCTGCTTGTGCGGCAGGGGGCATGAGGGCACGCAGGCGCTGGTACGCCAGCAGGTCAGCAGCAGACGGGCCGCCAAACGCGCCCGCAGGGGCGGTGTAGGCAGGGGGGGCGGGAGGCGGTGGGGGGAGGCCGCCAGGGGTTGTGGTGGCGGAGGGGGGGGTGGGCTTGCTGCCCCAGGAGCACTGCAGATGGGGGGAAGGGGATTGGGGGGGTGGGGAGGAGAGGGGGACATGTGGAGGAAGCACAATATTTCAGTGAGCAGTGGAATAGATATGTAGTGACAGTGAGAAGAGTAAACCATAGCGAGGGGCACAGCCAAAAACGGCACAGGCATGAAGCGCACAGTCTCCAATCCAGCCGAGCCTAATGCAACTCAACCCAGAGAAGCCCACCTTGACGGATTTCCCGCAGATGACGCGGCCATTGGCGGCCTGGATGGCAGCAGCGGCCTCTTCGTGCGTGCGGTAGCGCACAAAGCCAAAGCCCTTGTCGCGCTGCACGCGCACCTCCTCTATGATGCCCACTCCCAGCGCGTAGAACTGCCGGTGCAGCTCCGTCTGCGACACCTGTGCAGGGGGGAGTGGGGGAGGGAATGAGGGTGGAAGACAAAAACGAGGTGAGAAGCGGGTGGAGAACGGCGATAGAGAAGTGGGAGGGGGAATGGGATTGGGACGAGAAGCTAGAGCACCTCTGAAGCAAACTTGTCCACATAAACCGTTGTGTTGTGAACCTCACTCACTGGCATGCGCTGCTCCTTTGGGTCCGCTCAGGCAGCACCTCATTAACACAGCTGCTTATGTACTCAGTGCATTACCAAACCTCTCCTCGCACAATGCTCACATATCCGGTTGTGATCTGTGCAGTGCTCCCTTTAATCGCCTGAAAGTCACCCTACCTCACCTCACAGCGCTGCTTGTGTCACAAGACAATAACATCCGGTGTGCCTTATTTCTTACAGCATGCTGCATTGCATTGCATTGCATACCTCTGAGGCCAAGTTGCCCACATAGACTGTTGTGAACTGTGCACTGCTCGTCGTACCAGGCCCCCCAGCCGCCGCAGCAGCAGCAGCAGCAGCAGCAGCCGCGCCAGCAGCAGCAGTGCCCGGGGCCCCTGCAGCAGCGGCTGCGGCCGCCCCTGGTGCTGCTCCTTGTGAATCATTGTCTGCCATGCCATGCGCCAGGGACATGCAGAGGATACCAGGTGGTGGTTCGAGTCAAGAGGCATGGTAGGTGATCTTTGGTTGGATGGGCTTGAAAGTAACTTTTAAGTCGACTCAAACAGCAGGTGGTACGAGTCAAGAGGCATACTGAAATGTGCCAGGATTTCGCAGGGTAACAGGGAGCAAGACCACATAGCCGCATGCAGGTAGTAGGAGCATTAGGGATTGAGGACAAGTGGTGCAAGCAGGAAGGGTGGCAGGAGGAGAGGTGGAATGGGGAGATGTGGAAGGAGGGCAAGTGACAGAGCAGCTCATCATACGCTAAACCAATTTAGTGTGTGGCGTAACGCTAACAACTGCACACACAGACGACACACAGCACCCAGCACAGCACCACACATCACAGCACGTCACATCACAACACAACCAAGCGCAGCACAGCACAACACCGGTCACTCTCCCACCTTTTGGCTCGTGCTTGACGGAGCCATTCGCCCCTTCATCTGCACCCTCCGCCCCTGACTGCAACACTGCTTGTTGCGATGCCGCCTGTTGTTGCGCCTGCGCTTGCTGCTGCTGCTGTTGTGGCAACACCACCACTGGCTGTTGCTGCTGCTGGTGGTGCTGCTTGGAAGCATCATCCATGGCTTGGTTCTTGGTGGCCCAGTTGCATCGAATGGGCCGGGTTCCCACCCACTTGCCTGTCATCTCTGTTATTGCTGCCTCTGCGTCCTGAACAGGGTGTGTGTGTTGGTGTGGGTGAGGGTGAGGGAAAGGGTGAGGTTGAGAAGGTGAAGGCGAGGGCGAGGGCGAGTGTATGGATGAGGATGAGTATGAGTATGAGCACGGTGAACAAGCAGAACAGCTCGCGGGACCAAGGATACGAGCAGGAGGAGAGAGTTACAACGCCGTAAGAGTGCCAGCAGTGAGATTCGAGACAAAGCCACAGATTTCGCTGCTGGCGTACGAAATGGTGGAGACACAAAAACAGATGCATGGACGGAACGGCGGGGAGGGAGAGAGGAAGGTGGTCGGATGGGGCAACATAACAGAAGCGTGAGGAACAGCCACAGCACGGCCTTTGTGCCAGTCATAGCACGGTCCTTATTAAGCTGCCTTAGCCCAAAGACGGGTGTAGGGATGAGCAAGGTGGCGAACACCTGTTCGGTTCGCCTCGAACGTGTTCGAGGCGAACCGAACAGGTTATGTTTTTTAGCTCAAATCGTTCGCCGAACAGTGTTCGATGTTCGCCCGAACACGTTCGTGTTCGGGCCGCTGCTGAAATTTGCCAGCGACGAACACGAACAGTGTTGGAGGTTTGCCCGAACACGCCTCCACAGGCGAACAGCGAACACCTGTTTTTTCCTTAACTGTTCGCCGAACCGAACACTGTTCGGTTCGGCAAAAGAGGGTGTTCGACAAGGGGCGAAGACGAACATGTTCGTGTTCGCCCTTTGCTCATCCCTAGACGGGTGTGTGGTGTGCTGTGGTCTGTGGTGTTCTGTTGTGTGTGGTGTGCTGTGGTGCAGCGCGGTGCGGCACCAGCTCACCAGTAATCTGCATCTAAACGCCAGACACAAAGCGGGCCATCCATAGCCCGGCGATTCAGCCAGCCCTGACTGCACGTACAGGGGAGTGTACAGGGGAGTGTGTGGCGGTGCAGTGCAGTGCGGTGTATGCATGCAGTGAGGCGGCAACTCAACTCACCAGTTGGCTGCGGAAGGACACAAAGCCATAGCCTCTTGAGCGGCCTGTCCGATGGTCCCACATGACCCGCGCGTCCCTGGGGGGAACCGGGGGAGCGGGAAGGGGGGAAAGGAGGGAGGTGTGGCCGAGACGAGACGTAGAGGTCACAGAGGAGGAAGAAGGGAGATTTTGGGGGGAAGAGAGAGGGGTAAGGTGAGGAGGGGGGGTGGTGGGGGCAAGGGGCGGAGTAAGGATGGAGGGTGTACGGATAACGATTTGCTACTTGTCGTGCTCACCGTACAACAAGTAGACAAGTAGCACGTCGTCATCAGTTTGTACTCAGGGAAACACAAAAGACAAACTGTTGCGGAGGAGAAAGGCAGAGAGGAGAAGGGCAGGCAAGAAGGTTGTGGATGGTTGGGAGGGGTTGGGCTGAAAAGGTACCCTCAAAAATCACACAGGCGTTGGGATGGTGAGGAACCGAAAAAAGGAGAGGCAGGGAGAACGGATGAAGGAAGAGGGACGACTGGGATACGCCAGGAGGCCAGGGCGTGGCAAGAGGAGCGAGATGGGGGGGTGGGGAGAGAGGGGCAAGAGGGGCGAGAGGAGAGGGGAGAGGGGAGAGACGGGGGAGAGGGGAGAGAGGGGCGAGAGGGGAAAGAGGGGCGAGAGGGGAAAGAGGGGCGAGAGGGGAAAGAGGGGCGAGAGGGGAAAGAGGGGCGAGAGGGGAAAGAGGGGCGAGAGGGGAGGGGCGAGGAGCAAGAAGGGTAGGCAATGAGCAGCTGTGCGTACGAGCAACTGGGGAAGGTGCTGAAGGCGGCGAAGAGCGAGGCATCTGTGACCTCTGGACCCAGGTCGCCCACGAATATGTTCACATGCACTGGTGGTGGGGGGGAGGGGGAGGATGAGGAGGAACGGGAGGGGCAGGATTGGGAAAATCTTGGATGCTGCATCAGAACTCGAGGCGTCTGTGACCTCTCGACCCAGGCCGCCCACGAATATGTTTACATGCGCTGGCGGGGAGGGTGGAGGGAGCGTGAGTGGGAGCGGAAGGGTGGGGGTTGAGGAGGGGAGTGTTGAGATGCAGGTCAAGAGCCGGAGGGGCGCACTAAGGGCGTGGAAGATGGGAACAGCCAAACGAATTTGTCGCTTTTTTTCGGGCGGTTCTGACGACTGCGAATCATCTAGGCCAACGTCCACAGACGGTAATTACATAGTAGTCTCCCTGAATTTACCGAAAATCATTGGAATTTCCGGATGTGTATGTCCCCATGACCTTTTGGGGCCTCGATGTAGACTTTTTCTCGGCATGGGGATCGCTACTTGACTTTATGTATTAGTCCCCAAATGTGCTTGCCTAAACCCAGTGTATCTGCTACACACTCTTTGCCTATCCACTCCACTGATACTCCACACAACACCCCGCTCGAACAATGAAACAGGGATTAAACTGATTGGTACAATTATGTGGGAGGTCTTCAGATGGGTCCCCACGTGCTGGCGAACAGACAGGTCTTTGTGTTTGAAATGTGTGGCGGGGTTCGCTTATAATGTTACAAACTTTGCAATCGCCGGAAACACACACGTGGTCGACCATTTGTGCTTGAGTCTTTCCCATCATCCACGCCCTAACGGGAATAGAGGGTAAAACGCGGTTGCGATGGGCAAGGCCGAGGGGCGTAAGGGGCACGAGGGGCGTGAGGGGCATGAGGGGCAAGAGCAGTGCGTTGCGTACTTGAGGTGTCTTCTCGGTTAGTGCTGGCATACGCCCAGTTCACCTTGATAGGCTGCCCAAACCTGGTGCACGCACACAGCACACAGGACGCATGCAGGGATGCGGGGGGATACAGACATGCCCACGCACACGCATGCACACACACGCACGCATGCATACATAGAGGCTAGCTTTGAGTCGACTAACAAACAGAAGCCGGTGCAGAAACAGGCCATGGGATGGGACCCATGCATGGGATGGCATATCATGCCTGCACTGCACACACAGTCTGCACTGTTTCGTCCGACGGTTGGCAACTGTCCGGCCCAGTGGCTTTTGTGACCCACTCCAGTCATTACACGGACATGGGTGGCTACGCGTGACAGAAACGAGTTTGGGAGACAGAATGAGGCGAGAGAGATTGATGGAGGAGAGAGCGGAGGGGAACTTTGGAGAAGAAGTAGAAGAAGAACAAAACAGCACGGAAGTGCATGCATGTAAGTGATGAAAGATGAAAGGTCGGAAAGGTTGGAAGCCCTTCCCAACCCTCACAGATCGTTTTTGCGCCTCGTCTGCTTCAACTCAACTCCTCAAAACTTCTCCACACACATGCCCATCCCCCGGCCCCACGGCCCTCCTCCTCCCTGCCCGAACCACGCATTAACCCAATGCTCGCATTCTCCCTCCTGCCTAGCCTTCCCTTCCTATTCCACTTAAATATCCCTCCCTACTACGGTGTCCGCCTTCAAAACACTCCACAAGCGTTGTCATCCATTCAGCACACTCCACACAACATTAATAAAAAAAACTTAACAACACCACGACACATCCAATCCCCCACTCCTCTCGTCCAGCCAGACCCTAAACCTCCAGAAAAAAATAACAAAAGACCATGCCACGAAGTTGTGTGTGCGAGCAGCAGCGGCTTACAGGAGGCGGCCGTTGAGTGTGAGCAGCGCTGCCTGCGCAGATCGATGGTCGTAAAAATCCACAAACCCGTACGACGACTGGAGCATGCCCGCACAGCACGGTTGGTGATGGTGACACGTGGCAAGTGGCAGAGACACGTGGTCGTGACGTGGCGGCGATCACGTGGGGCGCAAAAGGAGAGACGAACGGGAATATGGGAGACGCAGAGTTTTAGTAGCAAGAGAGGGAGAGTCGAGAAAAAGAAGTCAAGAAACGAAAAGTTCAGTAGTAAAACAGCAAGAGGTCAGGCAAACGCACACTTGCAAAACCCTTGAAACGGAATCCACAGGTCCAACCCTTGAAACGGAATCCACAAGTCTAACCCTTGAAACGGAATCCACAGGTCCAACCCTTGAAACGGAATCCACAGGTCCAACCCTTGAAACGGAATCCACAGATCCAACCCTTGAAACGAGTTCCACATATCCTTCGACTTATAGGGGCAGCAGCGGAAGAGCAAGCAGCAGCATGAAAATCACTGATCAGTGCTAAACCCGTGGGGCAATCACTCACCTTGTCCTTGCGAATGAGCTTGCAACCCTCCAGCGGGCCGAGCGCGGAGAAGATATCCCCAAGCATGGGCTCCGTGACCTTGGTGTGCACGTTCCCCACGTACCTGCGCGCCAAGCCCCGCCCCGCCCCCCGCGCGCGCACACACACCCCGCGCGCAGCACACGGAAACCACGTGCACAGCACACGCAGACACGCAGCGCAGAGGATCAGGATGCAGGAATCAATGCACCGAAGAATCGAGAGCTTGAAAACTAACGGCGAGGGTATCCGTGGATGCGCGTCAGCGCATGGAAGGAAACGGCGGCTGATGCGCCATTGACAAGGCTTGTTAATCCCTCGCGCAGACCAGCATTAAGCTTTGAGAGGCTGGGAATAGCCTCCTAAACAAAAAAAAAAAAAGGACCGGAGTAACCATCTTCTTAACGAAGAAAAGCCCTGGCGACATATTGACCTTCTGACTGCTAAGACACTCACACGCTGCGACAAGAAGCCGGATCAAAGCCGGGCGGGAGACTACCACTCTGAACAGAGTCAAGCTGCCCAAAAAAAAGGGAAAAAAAAAACATATAAAAAAACAAAAACAAAACGCGAAACCCTAAGCCGGAGAGCTGCACTAGAGGAGAGACGGGAGCGAACGAAAGCTGGTAATTATCGATTACCGAAGGACAAATAAAAGCTAACACTAATTACAAACGTCCAGCTAAGGAAAAACGTTTACAAAACTAATGACGAACGTGGCTGAGTAATAGCCTCGTCACGACTTGAGTTGTTAATCATCCAGCAACGACATGCTGAGCGCGATCTAACGTTCTCGTGCGAACACTTTTTTTTTCTTTTCTTTTTTCGGACCAAACTAAACAAACAACCCCAACCTGATCTGTCGATCTGTTTAAACCCCAACCTGATCTTCCAGCAGCATCTTCAGCTCTAAAATAACAATAACTTGTTAATCCGCTCGCCTTTAATTAGCAGCCACATTCGTGCGATCAGTACGATCAGAAACAAACACAGCGCGATCGACTGATAGTTTCCGCGTAAAGAACGTGCTCTGCTTTACCAGGACAAAAAAAAAAAAAAAAAAAAAAAAAAAAAAAAAAAAAAACACGATCGGACCTTACCGGGGTCATGGCCGCGGCTGACATGAGGCCTGGGTGGAACATGCCGGGCTGCTATTGCTGCTCCTACTACTTCTGCTGCTGTTGAAGCTGCTACTGAAGCTGCTGCTGCTGCTGCTGTTGCTGCTGCTGCTGTTGAAGCTGCTTCCGCGGTTGATGATGCTGTTGCTGATGCTGAAGCTTCTGTAGCATAACACCCTGCTGCTGAGCTGTAAGTTAGTGTCTGCTGGTCGCCGTACGGCGCTTCGTACTTGTGCTGTTATGAATGATTGACACCTTTTGCAACCCTCGCGGCTACCCCTCCTACCTAATCGAACTCGTTTCTTTAGGGTTGGCAGAACCTATTCTGACTGACCTCGACCGCACGAGATGCTACGTCCTCCTCACGTACGCGACATCGGCAAGCTCGTTTTAAAAGAAGGCATAGAACTCCGTGAACTACTAGGATCTGGATCACTGAGGTTGAATGTAAAAGATTCGAGTATCTTCCAAGCATAGGCGACTAGCTGCTTAGTCGTCGAGCTCTGAAACCAGCATTATGCAAGGTTGGACCTTGCCGCGACTATCCAAGACTGAGATTGTACCAAAGAAGAATCGGCGGGCAAGCTAGTTTTCCAAGACTGAGATTGTACCAAAGAAGAATCGGCGGGCAAGCTAGTTTTCGTAAGGCGAGCGAGTGAAAAAGAGAGGAGCTGGGGGTTCAAGCGGTGGAGGGAGGATCAAGGCGGGGAGAGAGCAGAGTGCCAGGCAGGCTAGGCTATGTGCTGCTTTGTACAAAAATGACCTAGGGCTTGTTTCTAGGCGGGAGTCAAGATTCATAGCAGGCTCGATTTGTTGCGACGCGTTATGATCCATTCAAAACAAATCGTCAATCTAATAAAAAATGCTTTTATTCCACCCTAGTATCAAGCATGGACCATGGCTAATGCTAAGATTCTTGCTACCTCTTACAGTTTAGGCCCCTCTGAAAAACACTCTGTAGATTCTGAAACAGGGAAAAAAATGCTAGAATTCGGTTCGGGTGTCGCGTGATGCTTCTGCGCGCCTTGTTTTTTGTCGCCTCCTGCCGCCGGTCAAGCGAGTGCACTTTCTCCGGGCCGCGACGGCGAAAGAGTTTTCGGATGCTATTGTTGCTTGTGATGCCTTTCCTCGTCCCTGATTTCCCTTGTATTATCCACCGTCGCTGACATCATTACCCATCTGCACTCACTTGACTCTAGTTTGTTCGTTGCTTGCACTGCTAACGATCTTGCTGAGCACGCCCCCCTTTATATATCTCAACCTGCACCCCCTCTCAACCCGCCTCCCTGACCACCTCGTGCCTGCCCGGGACGCCCTCCTCTCCATGCACCCCATGCGTCTCTCCATCGACATCTTTGAGAATAGGCTTACTAAGATCGAGACCCTCTTCCGCACCATCTCATTTAAAACTAGTGCAGTTGTAACCTCCATCTTTGAGGGGGCACTCCGCCCATGTTCCCTACCCCAGCTGTATCTGTTTTTGTTCATGAGTCTACTGCTACAGTGAAGGTCGCGGCCGACGTTGCCCCATCTGGTGGGCGGGGACGGCGCAGGGGTGGTAATGGTCGTGGAGGAGGTGGAGGTACTGGAAGGTCGGGGGTGCTGGAGTGTTGGTTCTTGGGGGTGTTGTCACAGGAGGTGTTGGTACTGGCAGTGAGACGGTGACTCTGCAGCAGCAGCGGATCCAGCAATAGTTCTCCTAGCGGCTGTAGGGACCTGCTGGCAGGGGAAGCATTGGACGCGGTGGCGGGTCTGACAGCTCAGCATCGTCTAGCCTCCCTTACTGGCCTTGCCTGTACCAGATTCAGTCTGGTCCACTGCGCGGCACCATGCAGGCGCCCGGTAATTCTACTCTGCGCTGCTTCCGCCAACTCGACGACCTCTTCTGCGCCCACTTCGCGTCTAGTGAGTCTGTCCCGGACTAGCCTGTAATATGACACAAGGGTTTGGCTGTGTTTGATCTTAACATATCTCATATAGAATCTGCTTTGTATGGCATGTATGTTGATAAAATTAGGGTTGCCAGATTCTATTATTTGTGTGTTACTAGACTGGTTTCTCTAGCTATCTTCAGTGTAGGATTCTTTGGTGTTACTTGCCCAGGTGCTTCAATTGCCGATGCGCCCCTCTCCTTCACGCTAGAATCTGGCGCGTCCCAGTGCTTCTTTCGCGACTGCACCACCCTCTCACTGCTTCCAGGTCATGTTGCAGTCTCCTTGGTTGACCCCTCATCTGGGCCGATTGTCGCATGCAGCGCCACTACACTCTCGTGTTCGGCAGTTCCCTCTGGCTCCTTCAAAGATGTACACATCCCTTCATTCTCCATGAACTTGGTAGATTTCAGACGTCTTCCGGATTTTGATGTCACCACCACGCTACCTGGACATGAGTGGATTGCGATCTGTACAGAGGCTACCACTTGCCACATGCTGTCGTCACCAGCGGTGAGTGGGGCAGTGATTTTTGAGACGTCTCAAAAAGCGGTGAGTGCCAGTGTGAGTGGCATTGAGCTGCACATTGATTGGACAGCAGTATCTTTGTGGGTTGGCCTGTGCTCATCCTTCTGCTCCTTCTGCACGCCGGGGTGCGGCCATGCGCTGCTGTGCACGCGCAGATCGCGGCATGAGTGCGGCGCGTGGCGTGCGTGCCGCCCCTGCCGCGCCTTGCGGTGTGCGCGCTGCGCATATGGCTACGTACTGCATGTGGCTGTGAAAGAACGAGGAATGAATGAACTAGGAAACAGTTGGGTACAAATGTGAAACCCTAGAAACCTGTACTCCTTAGAGTCTACCCCACTACAGGCTACACAGGCTAAGTCATATATAGCTGACACACCCCCATAGGCAAAGTGGGGGAGAACTAGGGGTCACAAGGAATGGCCTTATTGTCTACGTACAGAACTGGAGGAGAACGAGGCGGCTCTCCCAGGTCGGTCAGCAGGTAGGTGAGCCAGCGTAACTCCTGTGCAGCCATGGCCCCTGTGTAGATCTCGGCCTCACAGCTGGCGCCAAGAACAGAAGACGAGCGAGTAGACTGCCACGAAACAGAGCCGGAACCAAGGCTGAAGGTGTAACCCTGTGACGACCGCTGCGTAGCCTGGTCGTCAGCCCAAGAAGCGTCTGCGTGACCGGTGAGGACCACTGAACGCCGCCCTCCAAGCACTAGCTCCATGCCTGACGTACTGCACAAGTAGCGCAACACCCTCTTTGCTTCAGCCATGTGCTCTGGTCGGTGTCTCCCAGGAGCAACATGTCAGAATACTGTTATAACTGCATGTAGTTCTAGTGTAGTGTAGTTCTATATTTGTACTTTCTTGGTGGTGCACCCTTTCCTGAACTATATCTTGTACCTCTTTCTCATATTGAACCATTCATTTCTCCTCTCTCTTGGCACAAACCACTCGACTTCTCCTTGGCCTAGGCTACTAAGCCTAGGCCCCCACTTAACTCTCAACTACCTCTTAAGCTCGTTATTCAACATGGTATCAGAGCCAGCGTAACTCCTGTGCAGCCATAGCCCCAGCGTAGATCTCAGCCTCACAACTGGAGCCGAGAACAGAAGACGAGCGGGTAGCCCGCCACGAGACAGAGCCGGAACCTAGGCTGAAGGTGTAACCCTGTGACGACCGCTGCGTAGCCTGGTCGTCAGCCCAAGAAGCGTCTGCGTGCCCAGTGAGGACCACTGGACTGCGCCCTCCAAGCACTAGCCCCATGCCCGACGTACTGCACAAGTAGCGCAACACCCTCTTCGCTGCAGCCATGTGCTCTGGTCGGTGTCTCCCAGGAGCAACAAAGCGTGCAAGAATGCTAAGAGGGTATGCGAGGTCAGGTCGTGTGCAGGTCATCAGGTACATGAGGCAGCCAACAAGCTCTGGGTACGGGCCACTCGACTCTACGGACTCATCCGAAGGCAGAGCTGAGAGCGAGTGGCGAGTAGGCAGAGGAGTGGCCTGAGGCGAGGAGTACGTGAAGCCGAAGCGCTGAAGGACCTGCTGCACCATGTGTGACTGAGTCAGGGTAATGGTGCGGCGTGCTCTGTCCCGGGTGATCTGCAAGCCAAGGTAGCTGCGCAGTTCACCCAGGTCAGTGCACGTGTGTCTCTTCTGCAGCTCGGACTTCACATAGGCGAGTCCAGTAGTGTCAGCTGTGGCAAAGACCAAGTCGTCGACGTACACGAGGATGTAGAACGGCGGCAGAGAGGTGTCGGTGCGAAGAAACAGCGACAGGTCGGCAGTAGAAGGAGCAAACCCAAGTGCCGCGAGCGTAGTCCTCAGTGTGTCGTGCCACTCACGTGGCGCCTGGCGGAGACCGTAGACTGGACGCCGGAGACTCCACTGGGTACCAGGAGGGAAAGACCCAGTGAAGCCAGGTGGGCGACGCAGCCAGATCTCCTCGTGCAGGCTGCCCTGCAAGAAAGCAGTGCTGAAGTCAAGAGAGTGCAGCTCGTAGTCACGGTGAGCAGCAACGTGCAGCAGAACCCGAAGAGTGGTCATCTTCGGGGTGGGAGAGAAGGTCTGAAAGTAGTCAACCCCCTGCCGCGGACTGAAGCCACGAGCCACGTAACGCGCCTTGAAGACAGGCGGAGAACCCGGCGGCCGCTTCACCCTGAAAATCCACATGCCACTGACGATGTTCGCCCCAGGAGGGGGGACAGCGTCAACGTAGGTGCCTGTGGACTTCCAGGAAGCCATCTCTGCATCCATAGCTGCCTGCCACTGAGAGGAGTAGGGACCCTCTATCGCCTCCGCGTAAGAGCGCGGAGTCGGGATGTCTGGTGCATCCGGGTCTCCCTCAGGGGCTAGCAGTACAGACGCAAGACGAGGTGTAGCAGCGGCTAGACACTGGAACTCCTCCTGCCTGTCCTCAAGGACGTCCGTGCCAAGGGCACACTCACCCCCGACGGACGGAGGACAGGCGGACTCAGACTCAGTGACAAGACGAGCAGCGTAGTCTAGACGACAGCGCGCAGCAAAGTCGACAAGCTCAGTGACAAGGGCAGACGCAGCAGACGACTCGAAGGAAGGG